AGTAGTACGGCCAGGAGCCCCTAGTAGCGTCCTTGCTCCTAGTAGTACGGCCAGGAGCCCCTAGAAGCGCCCTTGCTCCTAGTAGTAATGCCAGGATCCCGTAGTAGCGTCCTTGCTCCTAGTAGTACTGCCACGAGCCCCTAGTAGCGTCCTTTTGCTCCTAGTAGTACGGCCAGGAGCCCCTAGTAGCGTCCTTGCTCCTAGTAGTAATGCCGGGAGCCCCTAGTAGCGCCCTTGCTCCTAGTAGTAATGCCAGGAGCCCCGAATAGCGTCCTTGCTCCTAGTAGTAATGCCAGGAGCCCCTAGTAGCGAACAGTGCTCCTAGTAGTACGGCCAGAAACCGCTAGTAGCGTCCTTGCTCCTAGTAGTAATGCCAGGAGCCCCCAGTAGCGTCCTTGCTCCTACGAGTAATGCCAGGAGCCCCTAGTAGCGAACATTGCTCCTAGTAGTACGGCCAGGAGCCCCTAGTAGCATCCTTGCTCCTAGTAGTAATGCCAGGAGCCCCTAGTAGCGTAAATTGCTCCTAGTAGTACGGCCAGGAGCCCCTAGTAGCGAACAGTGCTCCTAGTAGTACGGCCAGAAACCGCTAGTAGCGTCCTTGCTCCTAGTAGTAATGCCAGGAGCCCCCAGTAGCGTCCTTGCTCCTACAAGTAATGCCAGGAGCCCCTAGTAGCGAACATTGCTCCTAGTAGTACGGCCAGGAGCCCCTAGTAGCATCCTTGCTCCTAGTAGTAATGCCAGGAGTAGCGGCCAGGAGCCCCTAGTAGCGTCCTTGCTCCCAGTAGTAATGCCAGGAGCCCCTAGTAGCGAACATTGCTCCTAGTAGTACGGCCAGGAGCCCCTAGTAGCGTCCTTGCTCCTAGTAGTAATGCCGGGAGCCCCTAGTAGCGTCCTTGCTCCTAGTAGTAATGCCAGGAGCCCCTAGTAGCGAACATTGCTCCTGGTAGTACGGCCAGGAGCCCCTAGTAACGTCCTTGCTCCTAGTAGCGATGCCCTTTGCCCCTAGTAGCTTCTTGCTCCTAGTATATAGTAAGGTATAATTAATCATAAACATGGTATATCCAATCTCCCTTGGCTGAAATGGTCAGGATGCCATCCCATGGGTCCCATGGTCTACGCCATCTCTGCCCGTCACTGGCTCGTCACTGGGCCTAGCAAAAGCGCAGCAGCACAGCCTTGAAAGCATCAGTTGGGAGGTTGGATGCCGGCAAATGGTAACTTATTGAATTAACACGCTTCTTACAGTACTTTTTAGAATAAGGCAACAAAACGCTACCACCCGTTTGGGCAGGTTCTCCCTGTTGAATAGGTTCGAAACTGCCAACTGCTCCCTTGCAAAACCACAGCTGTGCATCCATGCCTACAGTGGACTCATTGGTGCCTCGATCACAGATTGGATAAAGGATTTGCAACTGTGGATGCTGCGTGTTCAAACCTGGTACGAGTCCCTTAAATTCTGAATTGAGTATTTGTCAAACAGGCTCTACAGGATTGTCGAAATCCCCAACTCCACTAGCCCCACCAGCAGGAGACCCACCTTCTTTGGCACAAACAACCAGAGCAACCGCGGGTTCACGCAGTGCACCCAGTGCATCTGGGGATGGTTTCGATGTCTGATTTTGGGTCACAACCACTTGACCACCACTTCGCAGCGAGTCCCTGTCCTCCGCACCTAGCGTCAGAACTGTGATGGCTCTGCGCCAGCTTCTGGGCACAGCTTCGCCTGGACCATCATAGGTTTTATCCGAGGCTGGGTAGTAATCGTCAGTGGACTGTCCCCCCAAAGGACATCAGTCCTCAACGGGCCTTATGTTCATCCCCAACAATGCTAAGAGATGGTCACTTTGGACCCGTCTCACATGCCTTGTCTTTGTGTGGGAGGTTGCTGAAGAATTCTGATGACGCCTTTTCATTGAGCAACGTCATTCGCTGCAGTTGTCCATCAAAAAACGCCTCTCTGGACGATCAAACCATCACTGGTAGACTGGTAGTTGAACTCGGTTTCTGCTTGTTGTGTGGTTCCGATTGGCCGAGCTTTAGAAAGAACTGTACACCAATCACATTCCGGTGACCAAGCTCTTGCCTTCTTAGGGGTCCTTGCATCGATGAGTTCAAAGCTGCTCGCCAAAATACAACGGCAACAGAAATGCGGAAACAGCCTACAGGATGGTAGGCATTTCTTCCAAGCACAGCAACACGATGCCACACAGCCTTCCATGGGCTCAGGATCTAACCTCAAGGCCGGACGCGAATGAAACTCAACGTGGAATGTCCTGTTAATGACCAGGGCGCCATGTCTTGCCTCATGTCTTACAAGGAGTTCTAGCAGACCTGGCAAGAAAGGTTTTGAACCTTGCGAGTAGCGGAGCTATGATCCTTTGAACATGGAAGAAGCATGGGGGTGTGCCGGGCCGTGCTGCAGGCTGCAAAAAGCAGCTGCATAGGATTCATGCAGCTGATCTGCTGGGAATCCTGACTCAAGCTGGAACCTGTGTTCTGGTAGCAACCTGGTGTGACTGAGCCATGCCTAAACATCCAAAACATAAACCCCTTGCATACTGTCCAGGTGCAAGTGGAGGAATCAATGAACACCAAAAGCCACGCTATCCTCGTTCCAAACGAGAGGTAGATACAGGTATCTGGATCAACCCCTAACTTCACCGAAACATCCATTGGGCATCATTGGGCATCAGGACAATCTGATGGCGTCACCATCTTCCTCGGCACCGCACGTTGCAGAGATCACAGTCACAATGATAGTTGCAGCAGGTGACGGTGAGACTCAAGGCTGTTTGCTGCTTCTCTCTCCAGAGTATACAATATATATATATATATGTGTGTGTGTGTTGTGATGGGAACCTTTATGCATAAAATAACAACCTCCTTTCCACACTATCTACTCGACGCCAGCCGTACCCTGCTTCACTCTTGTGAATAGTATCAAGCTTAATGGTAAGAGCCCGAAGTCGAGGGCGAGGTATTGGCAGAGGACAGCATTTGCTCAACATAGTTATTTAAGGGAATATAGAACAGGAACTGATGAAAAAGTTGACACATGGAAGAAAAAGGGTGCTGTTTTCTGACTTTCTACCCTTGCCTACCAGCCCGCTACCCTCCATTCAGTTTCAGCCCAACTTCTGTACGTTACTCAATTCTTTTTTGAAAAGGCACCACGCCTATGAAATATGCAGTGAGACTCGGATATTATACGATACCACACAAGTGTAGAGCAAGGTGGCAAACAAACAGAAGAAGTAGCACAGGGTCTGGTAATGTAGATCTATGCAAATAAAGCAGAAACGAACACAGGTTGATAAACCATATGTGTATATATATATATAGTAGTCCTGGTCTAGGGTGTGTTTCCTGTCTCCTCGCACTACCCTACCTGTTGTATTGCACTCTTCCGATCTTTGAAAAAAAACAGTGAAACAACATGAACTTGTTCTTCCACGTTAAAGATTAGAGTACAGTAGGGTAGACTGGAAGAGTTATGAAGGCAGAGGAACGTAGCGTAGAATGCAGGGAGTAGAAATGCTGCATACCTATTTCCAGACGTCTGTCTTTCTGGCAGTATATATATATATATATATATCTGTCTAGCTTTGCTTATGTCCTTTGCATCTTTTTTAGTCGCCCGCAAAAGCTTAAAAGACTCAATCCCTGACCTTCCCGGGCTTCCTGGCATTCAGAAGTTCTAAAAAAGATACTAAACAAGTATAAGACTATATATTCAGTCGCTTTAGAATTTTCTGCTTTTTGTCGTCCGCAAAAGTACACAAAACAACAAACTAAACCCCTCACCTTCCCAGGTTTCCTGGCATCAAGAAACGAAAAAAATATATATATATATGTTTGTTTATATGTGTGTTCTTTTTCGTCTCCGCAAAACTACAACAGCCGTTCGAAACAAAACCCCGCTCCCGATCGGTTGCTTGTTCAGACATGTCAAAGCAGACTGATGCGCTCTTTTTTGAACGAGCGCTAGAGGCATGGGGTCACTGCACTCAAACCGAGTTCAAAATCAGTGAACACAGTAAAGAAGGGGTCACAAAGGTTCACCCACGTCCTGAACAGGTAATCTCTTCGCGAGTCCGACAGGATAAATGGTGATCCTCCACAAATGGCCTCAGGAGTTCAATCCCGAGACCCCAACACAAGAAATATTCTCACTTGATCACTTCATTGATCAAAATCACTACCACTGCCGACACACGAGCCTGGCCTTGCCTGCGCCCCCCTGAGGCGAGTAGTCGGCCCTAGGGAGGGCAGGGTGGAGGGCAGGGTGGCGCTTCTTTTCGCCAAAATGGCATCCGGCAATCGAGCGATCGACATCAGAGACTCTTAATTTGAAAAAAATGAGCAACATGACTGAATAGTTTTGTCACAAGTGACTAGTAAGTTCCTACCCACCACCCGTCAACTTACCACCCACTCGAAACAAAACCCCGCTCCCGGTCAGTTACTGGTTCAGACACGCATGTCTCTTTTTTGAACGAGCGCTATGAGCATGGGGTCACAGCGCTCGAACCGAGTTCAAAATCAGTGAACACAGTAGAGAAGGGGTCACAAAGGTTCACTCACATCCTGAACAAGTGATCTCTTCGCGAGTCCGACAGGATAAATGGTGATCCTCGAATCCTCCACACAAATGGCTTCAGGAGTTCAATCCCGAGACCCAGGCCCCACACCATACGGCACCTCTTTCGAACAGCCGCGCACGAGCGGTCACTGGTTCAGCTCGAAAGGCCACCTCGCCCACTTGCCCACACAGTCTGCCAGCCCATGCGTTCGCCCCTTGACAAATCGTCTCTTGAAGGCGGATCTGCAGGAAGGAGTCTCCACCACTTCGGAATCAATGAAAACAACCCCTCTCAAACGATTAGAAAAAGTATCGAGAGCCACGATCCGGGCAGGCATTTCGACCGGAATGATCTGAGTCTTGCGAACCAGCCATTTCTCTTTCAGCTCTTTTGGCACGATAGCCGAAAACTTATAAGGCTTCATCAGCCGGCGATCGACCAACACAGCACCTATCCGATCGGGGTACTGCACAGCATCTCTAGGACCTGGGGTCGAAAACCATCTGTGAACAGGACTGCGTCAGCCTTTTTGTTGGCACAAAGCTCGATCATCCTAAAAGTCCACACTGAGTGAGCTTCAACCACTGCAAGAGGGACTCTTTCAGAGGTGGATCTAACCCAAAGCGATCGGCAGGCTCGACGCGCCCTCAAAAATTCCCTGCCCACCTTCCCCCAGAGCTGGCTTGCACCGAACATGAGTTTGCCCTTAAGCTTACCTGCCTGACCAGGCTCTAGCTCCTCTGAGACTAAGGCTGCTTCGATCTCTTCTGTCAGCTCCTGCCGCCGAGCGGCTTTGACTTCAAGGACCCAGTCGACCAATTTATAGGTACAGCTTGCTGTTCAGCGGGTTGTGGGCCAGATTCTGAGGTGGGCAGCTTGAAGAATTGCAGCTGCCGAAGAAGCCGAAGGAGCAGCAGGTGCACTTGATGAACTAGGTGCTGCAGCAGGCTGTGGTGCGTTCGCACTGGGTCCAAAGGACTTTGGCTGGCCAGCCAGTGCTGCCTGTGAGTCTTCAGGCACTGGGTCCATAGGTGCTGAGGAGCTGTCCAAAGGAGCCTCAAGTTCTACAGGAGCCAGTGGACCATCGAGCTGATGCCATGCTCATTTGGAGCTCGAATGCCGCAGGGAACTTGGATCCACCAGCGGACATGGCTCGATCGCTCGTCCCAGGCCCTACAGAAAAACCTGGCGAGCGATCGCTTCATTTCGCCAAAATGGCATCCGGCGATCGAGCGATCGACATCAGAGACTCTTAATTTGAAAAAGAAAAGTGAGCAACATGACTGAACAGTTTTGTCACAAGTGACTAGTAAGTTCCTACCAACCACCCGTCAACTTACCACCTAAAACAAACTAAATCTCCCACCTTCCCAGGTTTCCTGGTATTTAGAATCTTAGAAATTCTAAAACGAGGAGTTCGGCTTTTAGTGTTGTAGTTTGTTTTGTTTTGCGGAAAGCTAAAAAACTGTAATAGAACATACTCCTTCATAATGTTCCTAGGTTTGCCGGTATTGAGAAGTTCTTGAAAAAAGATATTACATACGTATGTATATGTATATGGTGTTTTTATGTCTTAAGAATGTCTAAATACCGGGAAACCTAGGAGAATGAAGGACTTGCTTCGTGTTCTGCGGAGTCTTCCGAATAGACTGTTAAAAAAGAACGGAGGCTTTAGTTGTTTTGCTGTTTTAAGTCTTCCGCAACAAAAAATTAAGAAGCAACTATTTTAAATGTTCAGTTTCTGTGTGTTTGTTTCAAACTTTCTTTAGTCTTGCAAGCACTGCAAAACACAAATATTTAGTCGTTTTTGTCCTTTTCATGGTTTAGAAGTTCCGAATATTAGGCAAACGAAGAGATTAAAAGTTTAGTTGTTTGTTTGTTTATGTTGTGTGTTTTGTTTTTGATATTGTCTTCACAATAAACTAACAAATGCTAATGTTCTGTATTCATGTTTGTCTTGTCAAGTTCGAGATACTATAGTACACTGAATCTCAGTACGTTACATTATACATGGAGGTCCCTTGTACATATCAATACCAGCTCACTTAGACCCTAGTTTTCGGCACAAGGACCCAGCCTCACCAGCCATTTGGGAAGCCATGACTGAATCTCGAGCCACGGCTGCCGGCAGCGAAGAATGGCTTTGTTCTAGATACATTCCACCATAGAGCTTGAATTGTTGCAGTAATTATTGTTCGTAAAAAGTTAGTCAAAAATCCAAAATTCGGGGAATAATCACCAATGTCCACCCATCCCAAGCTCAGCGGTAATGTTGGCCGTCGTGTGCATCTGCATTGGACCCTGGTACATCAATTTTTCTCGAACGCATACTCCTTTGAGCTGAGCCTCAAAGGATTTGTGAGGTTGGTCATCAGTCAGGTTGGATAGGGGAAAATGAAAACATCGAACACAAACTGCCGTATAATTTGATCGCTTATCCTTGCCGCTGATGTTCCTCTTCACATAGTGTCTTCTAGCCCAAAAGCCCTTGAAAAAGCCACGTCAGCAAAGAAGGATGTGCAAACATCCAAAGAGAAACTCCGTACAGTCTTTCTTTAAAGGCCATCAGGCTGTAAAGGTTAACGAAGAAGTGCAGGTGAGGCGAGTTTTTTTCCGCAACAACAAGTGGCGACGTTCAACTTCTGTATGAGAACTGCACTCAATCAGCAACAGGATGTTACAGTACATGCTGGAATGCACTCCCACACTCCCACACTCCTAAGACATGCGATCGCCATTAAAAATATCTGGCACCTCATGCGCGCCAACTTGTGGAAGAGCCCTCTCTTCAAGATTCACACAAGCTGACCCAAATGCATTAACATTAAGCCTCGAATCATCCGCATCACTTCAAGCAGCACTACTGGAGGCATGACCCGTGTCCTGTCAGAGTCACACGTTTGTAATTTGTAGTTTCAGCAAAATCACTCCAAATGATACCAACAAATGTAGCCAACCGCCCAACATCTTACTGCTATCAATCCGTAGCTGCTGCTGTATCAGAAGGCATGCTGGCAAGTGTTGGTGTGTGGGCACGGAATCAAATTCTTGCGATGCATTTCTACACAACAAGCATCGTGCTGGCAGTGTCCTCCACCTCTGGTTCAGCCTAGCCACACAAGGCACTAGCAGCTAGCAAGATCTCATCTCTTCCGAACCCATGTATTGCATCAATGTCAAGGTCTTTCAAACTCATGCGGTCTAGCAAATACTCTCACCAACTCAGAACCGCCTGTTGTGAGATGTTGAGGGTTTAGGTGATAGCAGTATGGCTGGTTAGTAGCCTTGACTTTCAGCTCCAGCTCCAAGCCTT